CACACACACACACACAATACACAGACACACTCACACACACACACACACACACACAAACTCAATACACAGACACACACACTCACAATACACACACACACACACACACACACACACACACACACACACATACATTAAAATCTCATCACCACTGACAGTTTCTGAAATGTTAATGAACATTTGCGTCTCCCAACACACCTGTTTCGCGAGGAGTAAGTGGCCAGAGAATGTGCTAGTGTGAAGCAGGTGATTCCCGGAGTGAAACCTTGGACTGATTAGTGATAAAGGAAGAAAGGGTGAAAGGAAGGAAGGAGAAGGAAGAATAGAAGAAGAGGGAAGAAGAGTTGGGAAGAAGAGAGAGAGAAGAAGGAAGGAAAGAGAAGGAAGAAAAGAGGAAGAGGGAAGAAGAGTTGGGAAGAAGAGAGAGAAGAAGGAAGGAAAGAGAAGGAAGAATAGAAGAAGAGGGAAGAAGAGTTGGGAAGAAGAGAGAGAGAAGAAGGAAGGAAGGAAGGAGAAGGAGGAAAAGAAGATTAAGAGGGAGGAGGAGTTGGGAAGAAGAGAAAGAGAAAAAGGAAGAAAGGGTAAAAGGAAGGAAGGAAGGAGGAGGGAAAGAAGAGGGAGGAGGAGTTGGAAAGAAGAGAAAGAGAAAAAGGAAGAAAGGGTGAAAGGAAGGAAGGAGAAGGAGGGAAAGAAGAAGAGGGAGGAGGAAGAGTTGGTAAGAAGAGAAAGAAAAAAAGGAAGAAAGGGTGAAAGGAAGGAAGGAGAAGGAGGAAAAGAAGATTAAGAGGGAGGAGCTGGGAAGAAGAGAGAGAGAAGAAGGAAGGAAGGAAGGGGGAGGAGAAAAAGAAGAAAGAGAAGAGGAAGGAGGAATAGGAAAAAGAGACGAAGAAAGAAGGAAAGACGAGGGAGGTGGGAAGAGAAGGAAGGAAGGAAGTGAAGAGAGGAGAAAAAGGAAGGAAGTGAAGAGAGGAAGAAAAAAAGGAAGGCGGGAAGAAAAAGAAAGAAGGTGGGAAGGTGGGAAGAGAAGGAAGGAAGGAAGATGGGAACGAAGGATGGGAGGAAGGCACGAAGTGGACGGAAGTGAATGAATGAATGAAGTGAGAAAGGAAGAAAGGGTGCAAAGAAAGTGAAAGTAAAAGAGCGAGAGAGCAGAGAGACCGAAAAACAAAAAACAAAAAACACCAACAACAACAAAAAACAACAACAACAACATATATTATCTAAACAACGGGAGACCAATAACTCATTGAAGACCACGCGTTCCTACCCACCAACCCAGCCATGTTCGCGCGGCCCAGCAGGAGAATCAACTTCGCTCTGGTCTCTCTCCTGACCATTTTCTACGTCCACCGATTCCTCTCTACTTTGAGACACCTCAGGGACGTCCACAGCCTGTCGATGGACGCACAGAGGGCCGTTATAAGGCAAGCTGCAGCAGTGGCAAGCGTCGAGGGCAGTATGGGGGGTGGAGGGAGTGTTATAGCGAGAGGCAATGAAGAAAAGGGAATTAAAGAGGAATATGGATGGATAGAAGGAGGAGGAGGAGGAGGAGGAGGAGGAGGAGGAGGAGGAGGAGGAGGAGGAGGAGGAGGAGGAGGAGGAGGAGGAGGAGGAGGAGGAGGAGGAGGTGGAGGAGGAGGAGGAGGAGGAAAAGAAGAAGTGGGAGGAGGATTTGGAAATAGTGAAGGAGAAGAAATAGGAGAAGAAGAAGGAGAAGAAGAGGGAGGAGAAGATGAAGAGGAAGCAGAAAGTAAAGGGATAAAAGACGAACGAGACAACAAAGCAGAAGTGGAACGGTCACTGACAGAGAGGAAAAATAAAGTCTATGAATACTGCAGAAGCCACACCGTGAGGGAAAACCTTTATAACACAATTCAGAATAATATTTTCTTTCTTTGGAACTACAGGGTTTCCACGTGTATTATTGAAAAGGTAAGAAAAGATAACATTGGAAAATATTTATTGAAGATGATTACTATAATAGTATCACAGTGGCGATGATGTTGACTTTTATGATAATGAATAACAGTGATTTTGATTCGTTAACGATAATGAGAGTAATGATAAGGAAATTAAAATAGTGATGTTAGCGAAATAATGATAATAGCATGTTAACACTGATACTTCTACTACTACTACTACAGCTAATAAAGATAATGATAATTATAGTGATAACAATAATAGGCTAATAATTTTAGCAATGGCCATATGTATAATGATTAATACTGATTATAGTAACGACCATATGAATAATAATGGTAAGGAATGATAATGTTAATTACAATAATGGTAATGACAGCAACGGTAGTGACAATGATGATAATAATAACAAAGATAATGATAATAATGCTAATTCTTAGTGGTATTATTATCATCATTATCATAATCACAATCATCATCATCATTAACATGATGATCGCAAAAGCACGATATAAAGAATAATAATGTTTGCCCCTCCATCGCTGTTACTTCCCCTAACGCCTTCCTCTCCCTCCTCTCTCTCTCTCTCTCTCTCTCTCTCTCTCTCTCTCTCTCTCTCTCTCTCTCTCTCTCTCTCTCTCTCTCTCTCTCTCTCCCTCCCTCTCTCTCTCTCTCTCCCTCTAGGTTGGCTCTATGTCGTGGCGCCGGAGAATATGCAACCTGAACCACATTAAGACAAATACACACGATCCCAGAAGAAAGCGTTTACTTAAGAAATCCCACGAAGTCGTTTTAAGTCATATAGCCGCTACGTCGAGCATTGTGACTGTGAGGTAAAGAAAAGGGGAGAAAAGTGCGCTTGCGTGTCTGTCTCTGATGCTTTAAAATCTGTTATCTCATGTTATTTAAGTTCTATCTTTAAGTCATAATAATGTGACGTGTGATTTTAGCTATAAATTTTAAGTAGTGAGGGAACAAGCTCTGTCAGGGTGACCTACGGAGTGTAAAACGCACATAAATCTATACATACATATTTACCGATATCTATTCACACACACATATCTATATTTCTATGAACACACACAGACATATCTATACCAGTCTATCTATCTACACAAACGCATCATTTGCTTCCTGACCCCAAGAACTCGGTTTACAACAACTGTAGTAACAATAGTACTGGATAGAAATGTACTTTATTTTTCTCAGATTTGACATGCTGGAAAAAAGAAAATTATACTGAGAACCCATTTTCATTTTATTTCACAGGCATCCGCTAACTCGATTAGTGTCTTGCTACAGAGATAAGTTTGAAAATGGCGCCCATCCATCACTACATGAGGTATGGATAAAATGCAATAGGTCTCTGTGTAAACAATATGCACACAATGCATTATTCTTATAGGTATGCACACGCACGCACATACAAACACATGCACACCTATTTCTCAGTTTGGTCAATGTTTTTTACTTTAAATTTTCCTGAAGTGAGGCCTTTTTATTCTATTACACTCCCAACCCTCGTAGAATTCCTTGCTTTCCGTTTCACTAAATATCCGTGACAATCTTTAGTTTAAAACTATCCTACCTCACAGGAAAATCTGCAAATACACACGCGTCTAATTGTTCAAATTTCTCAGCTGGTGAAGGAACTTGATTTTTTCCCTTTTTGCAAGAAACCATCTCGATTTTTTTTTAACTAAAATAGAATATCCTCATAAGGAAGAAAAGTGAGTAGTGAAACCATACTGCGTACATTATACCAGATTAGCGAAGGGTTATCACAATCGTTATGAACGCTTAATTTTTAAATCCACGCGGTAAATTTCCGTTGCTGGTATCGTGCAATTCATTATTCCAATCATTTAGGCAACAACCCTAAACGTTTTACTAACGTTTTACTCACTCTGAACGAAGCTTTTTATAAGACGATTGTCGTTTTTGTGTCTCATCCCTAATGATCACGTACCTTATATATCAACCACGTACACTTCAGTATCCATCTATTCCCATATATTCTTAAACTGTTTTCCCTTTGTAACGCATTTTTCCGTAATTTCATGTTAAGACATTTTCGAACATACTGACAAAACTTTTATAAGTACATATATATATATTTAAGAATCCATTTTTCAGGCTACGAATCAAGCCTCAGCGTTACTTCGCTCAATTGAAATTATAATAGTAAATGTATTTCTTCAACAGAGACACTGGAGGGACTTCTACATGCCGACCTTGTTCTGCAACGGACGCCTTCCTCCAGATCTGCACCTTAGAGTAGGCCTAAAAGAGCCTCTCGACCCTGGCAAATAGTAAGTGTAGATATGTCTCATCTTTATGTTTATATCTGTCTATATGACTACGCATATATATACACGCATACACTTAGATATGTTTGGATATCTATATAGTAGAAAGTATGTTTTCGATTTATATGAAAGACTTTTCATCTATGAAACTTGTCGAACTGTGGACCATTTTCCTTATCATTTAAAGTAGGGTCAAATCACACACACACACACACACACGCACACACATTTATACAAACACCTTTACCCCCCCCCCCCTTCCACACACACACACTTATAAAATCACCTTCACCCTCGCCCCACCCACACATGCACATACACAAACACTCACACTTATACAAACACCTTCACCCCCTCCCACACACATACACAAACAAACACACACTTATAATATCATAATTCGAAGTTCAGTAAAACAATTCAATCATAAACATCCATCCACATAAACCTTTTATATCTAATATTAGTAACCAAGAGGACTCAGAAGCTCAATTTCAGCCTCCACTCCTCGCCTATGAATACCACCTCTGTAACCGCAAATACCCCTCCCACTCACCCACGTGTGTAGCCGCAAAAGGCTCCGGTGTTCGTTGCATATTAACCGTAAACTCCCATTTGTTACTCTTTATCAGCAGTAAATTTGAAGTATAGTTAATTATCTCATACATGATGCCTCATAGGTTTGTATGCTTGTAAGAGTTTGTGTAGGTTTCTGTATGCTTTATTTACATAAGGATATATAATATGAGTTTGTATGTTCCAACTCGTCAAGTG